GACAAAATTTAAGAGCGGATATAAGGGTCTTTTTGTGCATTATTTGGTTCCTTTGCTAATAGCTATAGGTAGATATTGTTGAAGGTTAATCACATGGAATTCACAGTTATATTGCAATGAATGATCAGAATTTGTTATCCCATCCTCAGGATTCGAGTTTGATTTATGGACTTGTATAGATTTTGGAATAGTTACGTTCTTTCTTGAAATCACTTTACTTTTGCCAAATCTTACATTTTTGCAGGAAAAATCGGGTACTGGTTTACGAGGATATTAATACATTGAGTTAAGGAGGACAAGGTCAAGACTCTTGATTAGACACAGACAATGCTAACAATTCAAAGACAATACTCTCATCTTCCTCTATTGATCTCACTCCTTGAAGATAAGGCTAATGAAAGTAGAAGTCACTCTCATGGAATGTGAAAGTCATCGTAACATAGGATCTTTTTTTGAGGGAGAATGATAACATTTATATCCTTTCTGAATTGAGGAATATCTGACAAAAACACACATTAAAGCCCTTGGAACTAATTTTCTCCATGTAGGACTTTGAACATAACAAAAGCAACATACTTAAATATCCTAGGAATAAAATAGTTTGTTGTGTGTATATTATGGTAGCATGTGGAGAGAAGGTCCATGGGATTCTTAAATCCCAAAACTCTGTAAGGTAATTAGTTTATAAGATATGTAACTACAAATACAGCTTCCCCCTTCCAAAAGAATTGAGCTACAATTGTCTGAAATAGAAAAAGCTCGAGTGGCTTCAAGAAGATGACATTTTTCTTTTATGTAACCTCATTTTGTTGCAGGGTGCAGCCATACGAGAACTCATGAATAATATTTTCTTTCTTAAAAAATGGGATTAAAGTTTAATTGAAATAGCATAAAGCATTGCCCATCTTAAATCTTTTTATAGTTATACTTGTTGATTTTAGAGAAAAAAAGTAAATTTTATTTCACCATTTATGTTGTTACACTTAGGGTATTTATATGATTCCTAACCTACAGGTAAGAAAATTTTTATTCTACTAAAATTCTAATTATATGAAATTATTATTTTTATTGATTTCTAATTACATAATATTAAATAATAAATTAAAATAATTAAATAATAAAATATGGTAGTCAACATCCCCATCAAGTTAATGCAGGTATCACACATACCTAATTTGCAAACCAAGTTCTAAAGAGTCATCTTGTAATTTACTAATGTCAAAGGATGCTAAAAAAGTGCAACAAACTGAAATCGGTTCTATCAGGCAATAGTTTGACTTGGCTTGGCTCAAAACAGTTTGGCTTGGCTCACTCAATTCACTCGGCTCCAGATAGATCTAGTTATTTTCTGTTGCACACAAAGCCAAAAAACGGTTCTTCTCTCCCGCAGCGGCTTGCTTTCCATCGCGCACGGATCTAAGTAGATCCGCCCTTGCACAACTTCCTCCACCGCAAGCTACTCCACTTTACGGGGACATGCACATACTGTTCTGTCCAAATCGAGGCCGCCTCACTGATCGCTTCACCGGCAACGCACCTTCTTCTGGTGTCGTGCCGGATCTAGGCCGGATAAGCAGCCGCACACTCTTCTGCCAACCGTCACTCACTGCTGCGATTTGAGCTGGTTCTTACTCTCTCTCTCTCATATCTGACTTTTTAAGATGGTGATGAGAGTATATCTGGATAAGTGGGTACCAACCTTGCCTATTATGCTACTTCAAGATTTTGGAAATGTCCTGAAATTAAAATCTTAAGATAGTTTTATTTTGACTTTGATACTATGTTCATTTTAAAAATATATATATAAATTTTATTTTTCACCTTTTATGTTGTCACAGTTATAGTATTTATAAAATTTCTAATTTACAGATAGTGAAATTTTTATTATACTATAATTTTAATTATACGATATTATTATTGTCATAAAATTCTAATTACATAATACCAAATAAAAAATTAAAATAATTAAATAATAAAACATGGTAGTCAACAATACTAAATTGATTTTTGATTATAGAATAAAATTTTGTGAGGATAATGTCAATTTTAGACTTATGTTTGAGCAAAAATAGCTAAGTAACACAATCATCAACAAAAGACATCAAACAATCTTGCCCCAGATACCTTAGGAGTAAACAAGGGTCTCGAAATATCACTATTAAATTAATGAAAAAAATACAACTTCTTTCATTATTAACTAGAAAGGGTATAAATTTATATTAAGATGGTTCGCACACTTCACAACTGAATTATTTGACATCGAAACTTTTAAATAAAGATGGAAAAAAAAATTTAAGAATTCTGAATAATAGATGTCCTAGGCGATAATAGAGCCTAAACTTTCTTGTTATTGGATGAAAAAAAGTCAGACATAAAAAACTAAGGAAACTTGCCCTTGAGAATGCTTAATTGATTTCGTGTGTCAAGGTAGCAAAGTTCATTTCATTCTCTAGCAAGTCAAATCATCTTCCCTGAATCCTTATCTTAAAATACACAATTATCATGGTGAGAAATAACATTACAATACAATTCTTGAGTGAGTTTTTTAATGGAGATAAGATTTATGAACAACTTACGAACATAAAGAACATTTTTTAGTGTAAGAGATGAAAGAAGCTGGACATGTCCTTTTCCAGCTACAGTGTTAAAGAGCCATCGATCATGCAATTTTCTTGTTGCTTGGGCATGGGGAATAGATGAAGAAGTTATTAGAGGAATAGCTCATGAGATCATTGACTCCTAAGTCCATGACCCAGGAGTTGGCAAAGGTCGTACTCGAGCCATTTAAGTCAATAGGAAATAGAAACTTACTTGAATACACCAATGAACAAGTACCTCAAGGCTTGTTTAGGCTACTGATAAGGGGATCTCCACCTTCTCAATTTCTTCATTGTCCAAATCCTTCTGTTACTTGGGGTTTGTGTCATCTGGTTGTGTCATGGTACCATGGGCCTGCCTATTGTTTCTTTGGTGGTCTCTCTTCTGTCCCCACTTCTGACATAGAGGTTCCCTGTAACTTCCAGCAATGATCCTGAGTGCACATGCTTTCATGTACACTACTAACTATCACAATTATGAGTTTTTGCTTGAATAGATTTCTCATGGTTTAAGCTGGTGTTTTGTCAATGACATTCTTCTTGTTGATAACTACCATAACAGATTTACCACTGTCACGAGACTCAAGCATCAAGCCTCTTCTACTTTCTTCACTGCAAATTAAAGCTATCACCTCGTAAACATAGAAACTCAGTTTACCAAGTATTGGATCCTACCTAATCAAATTGAGGATTGAGTCACAGAAAAATCAAAACTCTATCTTGTTCAATGAGTTCCTTGACGAAAGCAGCATCTTCAGGATATTTGGGTTTTAACATCCTGTGCTCAAGTTCTTGCTATAGGGCTTTCAGCTGATTGGCATCTTCTGTAACTGTTCGATTATCTTGTTTTGTAGCTATTGTCTTTATTAAACTTATAGACTTGGATGAGTCTCTAACCTTTGAAAATGTTTGATGAAGTGAGTTCCAAATGTTCTTTGCAGTAGTCAAGAACATGCACATGTCACAAATCTCAGGTATCAGGGAGCTCCATAACCTGGCTATAATCATAGAGTATTCTTCTTCTCATGCTTCAAACCGAGGATTTTTTGGTATTGGTTATGTGTTTGTGATGTGATTGATTTTTCTTTTTTCTCTCAGTATAGTTCGAACAAGATGGGACCATTTCAAATGGTTCTTTTCATCCAGTCTATATGCTGTCTGAATGGCTTGCAATTATCGAATTGTTGGGATCTAACAGTTTCATCTGCTTGAATAGGGTAGTTTGTTTCTGTAATCCTGACATCTTCTAGGTAATTTTGTATAGAAAAAGAAATTCAAACAACAAAGGCTGATCCAAAGAAAGGGATTGCACAGCTTCATAGCATCAACAATTAAGGCTAGTCCCGAGCAAGCAGGTGGAGGCCCAGCTGGAAGGAGTTGGTCACACAGCTACTTTAGGTGGATGTAGGGGGCTGTCTTGGATGGAAGACATTGGACACACGCTGCTGCAGATAAAGGTGCCCGATTGGATGCAGCTAGCATCTGACTGGGTGCAGCCGTTGTTCTGGCTGGGCGCAGCTACTGGCGCGCATCAATGAAGGCTGGGGCTTGGGAGGATGCCAGCTATGAAGGCCAGTTCTTTGAGTTTTAGGGTTTTGTTCTAATTTTGAAAATAAAGCGCGGTTTAGGTTTAGTATAGAGAAGTTAGGATTTTTGCTAAAACTCTTATACCAAGTGAAGAAATTTGTATTTCTTATTGAATATTATAACACCTATTTACAGTATTGTTACAGCTGCATAAAAGAGAACTTAATTATTTTGGAATCCTATGTATGGGATATTCCACCATAATAGAGCCCTACTTAAATAAACCTGATTCTATATATTGCAAAAATGTATATATACACACTTTCCTTTTCCAAGAATATTTATGCCTTTGTTGTTCCCTACTAACTATTAGCAGATCCATATAATAGATGACAAGATTCAGTAGGCTGCAACGAACAAGCCGAATTAATGCAAAAAAATCTATTGCTATTGAAAACTTAAAAAAGATAGAAAAAAAAGGATCCTCTCGTTTTACTTTCCTACAGACAAGGAAATATTATAGTTTATAATATCAATATAGTAATTTCTTAATTCTGTTCTTTAAAATTATTTTAATTTCATTGTCATAGGAAATTACTAGCAGTTTCACAACAAAGAACCATATAGTTCAAACATTCTCCAATTTCTCTTGTAATAAGAAAATTGAAGCGCATAAAAACATGTATAGATTACAAAAAGAATAGGAAGCCGCAAAATTTCATGCTTCATTATTTTGATCAGATAGGAAGTCCCAGACAAAATGACTCATTTATCTGATTGCCACAGGTAATCTGAGCATTTTTGCAACTAAAAGATTGAAAGATAAATAGCATATTCTATATGCAAAAATAAGTAAGTGATACAGGAGATGCATACATTGAATGGTTCAACTTCACTCCAAACTTTCAGAAAAGATATATCCTGAGCAGGTTCTATTCCAAGGCGACGT